GCAGCGTCTCAATATGGCACGGCCACAGCGGCGCGCGCGCGGCTGAGGAATTTACGAACCTGCAGGTGTTGTTTGCCACTGCTACTTCCTGGCTTAGCAGCGATGATCCCGGGACCATAGTGCGCATGTGTGAATGTGCACCGGCACTCTCAATGCCTGAGGACAGGGAAGCTGGCAGACCCTGTTTAAAAAGTTTGAGGACCCTGGTCTAAAGATAAGCCAACCTAGAAGACATGTTTGAATTCTGGAGCTGCAGTTTGGTTTTTTTTTTTGGTGAGTGCGACGATAGAGAAGTATCAGGGAGTAGAGATTTATTAGTTTTTTTGAGACAAGCCGGTCTCAGGTCAACCAGTACCTAGTCTCAAGGTGCGTAATGGGGGTCTGCAATCATTAGCTCTTTGTAACCTCAACTCCTGGTTGTTTTATAAGTGAGCGCTTATGTGTCAGCCTGCGCTGAGACCTGGGACTACAGGGTGGTGTAATTCCACATCAGCTGAGTTTTAAATTTTTTGGTAAGGATGCCGGTCGTGGGCTTAGGTGTTGCTCAATCTGGCCTTGAACTCTCACTCAGGCAGTCTCCACTTGGCCTTCCAAGGAGTGCGTAGGGATTATACATGATAACATACGTGGCCTAGGTCTTCTTAAACAGGCTGCCTTAATCTAGGGCAAGTTTACTGGGATCCCTCTGAAATCCTGCAGAAAGTCATCAAGTTATTCTCATGGCTGACTCTGCCATCTTCAAACGTATATTTACGTATGAACTTAAACAGAACTCCTTCTTTTGCTCCCTTTAAAAAGGTGTAATGATGTCTTCAAGGCTGTACTGAGGTGTTGTTATGATTATTTTTATGAACTCATGACTCACGGTCTATTTAATTCAGCTTCCCAAAGCTGTACCAACGATGCATAAATTATGACCAGAGTTTCTGGCATAAGTGGCAACACTATAAGACTAGAGCTTAAGTCTAGCAAGTTGTATTCTAAACTTAAAATCTGAGACCCTTACCGCAATTCATAGACAGATTATTCTGATGTTCGTATGCTGCTGCTTCTGTCTCAGAGGGGTCTTCACATTCCAAGGTTAGAGAGCTGGACACTGAGACGTTTCCTGCTAGGCAGAGTACAGTAAAGAATGGTCAACCATTTGTGGCCAGCGTCTATGCTTTTTTGGTGGAGAAACTTGAGGCCATGACGCAAAACAAATCAACCATCATCAGTGCAGCTAAAATTAAAAACGCTAGAAATGGGATATATACTAAAAATATCTGGGGTTTATGAGTTGGAATCTATTTTCTCTCTGTTGTTTAGATTTCAAACGTGGTATTTGTATTGATTTGGTGTATTTGAATATTAACAATAAGATAGGGTATTATTTGTGAAGCTATAGTTCGGGAGATATATTTCCAATCACGTCTGGATAACAGGGTGAAAACGAATACATTTTTAAAAAAGGATGAATCGACAACAATAAAAGACACTGCATTCCTAAGAGGTTTAGGGCGAAGGGAGAAGAATATTTAAAAGCCCACATTATGTTGATAAAGCGTGGGTGGCTTTTTCCTTTTTAGGCCTTCTACATATCCAGAAAAGGGATGATGCTGGGTTGACTATGGAACTATTATGTTTTAAGGATTATGTTAGTTCATTCACATGTCAGTAAGACATGTAGCAAATCACAGCATTGTCGTTTAACAATTACACCTTTTAAGTGAAGGTAATTTCAAATGCTTGAGAAAATATCAGTGGACCTCATGGCGTATTTTAGGAAGCGATCAGAGCAGATAAGGCTTAGGAGCAGAGACCTGTGCAGGTTTCTCTTTTTTAATTTTTGAGGATGGGGTTTTTGTGCGGTGCTTACCCGGGGCTGGTCTTGAATTCTGGCTGGAGCACTCTGCCTCAGCGCTCCAAGTTAGCTGTGACTATAGGCACATCACCTTGCCTCTCTTAACCACGACAGGTATCTGACTTGCTGAACTCGTCGACGACTCTTCGTTAATGGTATGGACGCACTTTGCCCATCAGCTGAATTTATTCCTCGTCCGCTTTTATTCGACGTTCTTAATATAATCCATAAGCATCTAGCACATTCCAACTCAGCGCAATGCTGGATAAAGAAATGTTGTCAAAATCAATGAAATGGTCGTTACCAGGTAGGATTTTCAGGGTGTCACTCTGTCGTGAGTCTTTTGGCAGCGGTTCTGTAGCCCATAATTTGGATTATAATACTTGCCTCTTTATTGTTCAGATATATTCCTTTTTGCAGAAGATTCATAACGTCATTGCAACTGTAAATTACAAAGGAAAATGTTATTTTTTGTAGTCGGAAAAAAATGTATGCATTGTAATCAAAGAAACCAAGAGAAATCCTGTGTATGCTCTTTGTTGCATTAAGACAATGAGTGAAGGTTATGCGTATAATTAAAAAAGAAAGTCACTTGGAACATTCTGACACTTAGAACACAAACTAACAAACAAAAAACAAAATACATAGAGTTAGTCAAGTTACTTTAGTCTTTTTCTACCAATCTGCCTTATAATCTGTATTTTTCAGTGGAATCAAGACACCAACGAAGTGTTAGACATGGCATCATAATTTTCTTACCCACTATGAGAAGAAAGTACTAATTTTTTTTTTTTTTTTTTTGAGAGACAGAGTCCAGCCTTGTGCCAGCTAGAGTGAGCGGGCCGAGCCTAGCTCACACAGACTCGGAACGGCTCGAGGATCCTGCTGCTCAAGCCTCGCGATGCTAGGGATACAGGCATGCGCCACCATTGCCCGGCTAATTTGTTTAGGATATATGTATCGTTGGCCTAATTAGTTCGTTCTAGTTTGATAGTAGAGACGGGTCTGCGCTCCTGCTGCAGGCTGCGGTTGAAACGTCCTGACCTTGACAATCCGCCGCCTCGCTCCCAAGGAGGCGTAGGATTACAGGCGTGAAGCCACCCGCCGGCTAATTTTTTTTTGTGTTCTGGAGACGACACAACTGAGTCAAGGTGCCCCTAACAAGTAGTGTACGAACGCGAGCCGTCCTGGCTCAGAGGATCCTTGTCCTCAGGCTTCCCGAATAGCTGGGATACAGGCATGCACGTGAGGCATTGCGCGCTGACCAAATTTATTTTTTGGGGGCGGGGGGCGTT